TTAAACTTTACCATACTGCTTGTAAGTCACATTTGACCTCGACTGGTTTTTCCACAAGCATTGCTTTTGTGATTTAATCGTTTTAGTGTTTCGCATCCATCATTAATGGCCACAAACAGACTCGTGTTACGTTTATTGTTATTAATGCTATAAAGATGTTGAAAGTAATTGCTGAAACTGGTGAAAAAACATAATCCTGCTCTTATTGATTCTATAGCTGTGTTTGCATCAGGTTGTATTTTGTATATTATATAACTAAGTTTTTCATGCAAGGAGAGCAGTCGGGGTTACGTCACCGTGTTTTGTGTGATAAGACATGAAATATGTATTATGGATAAATGCTCATTAAATACTTTGTAAACAAAAAGCTCTCATAAGAGCTTGTAGTTATGTTCGTAACATTATTTCCATATTTTATCAATAGTGTTAACCGGTTGAACATTGTGCTATTAGGCTTAATTGGGAAAACTTCACCTCGTCTTATTCACAAATGGGTTCAGTTCAAATAATCACGATACCAGCAACATGTTAGGGGATGTTGGTTCGGGACGACATGGTGTTTCAGGATCAGGGGATAACGGTGTGGATCTGTTCTTCTGTGGATCTGTTCTTCTGTGAATCTGTTCTTCTGTGGATCTGTTCTTCTGTGGATCTGTACTTCTTTGGGTCTGTTCTTCCGTGGTTCTGTACATGGTTGCTGTAGTGCAGACAGAGATATGTTGTTGGGCAAAAGAAAGTACAGTAAACTACGGTTATAACGAACTCAAAGGGACCACCCATTTTAGTTCGTAATAACCGTAGTTCGTTATAAGCATATATACAGCATATATGCAACACATGGCCGGGGCTAACAAGTAAGTTCATTATATCGGTCAGTTCGTTATACGCGTGTTCGTTATAACCGTAGTTTACTGTAGACATCTGTGTTTGATGGTTGCTAAAAATGAACAAACAAAAAATGGTCATACGATGGTGACGTATTTGATGTACTAGATGTGGTTTGGACCTTAAGTTTGCAGTGTTCCGGCGACTGTTATCAGACCAATAACGTTTTGATAACGTTTGTAATGTGTTGGTCAAATCCAAATTTTGCCCGGGACTTTACAGAGGGGTTATTTTAACAGACGAGTAATATTTTACATTTGTACAACTGCACAATAGTCTTAGCAGATATTTCTTATAATTATGGAAATGGTTTTATCGATTTGTATCTATAATTGGTATCTATACTTTATATGCGTGTTTATTTTATATATTTTGCAACTCCGTACGGAGTGACTCATACCTATTATTTTTACTGTATGTACTTATATAATTAATCTAATTTATGAATTTTTACTTTAATTGTATATGGTGTATGTCCTTTATTACGTCTGTTTGGTGGTTGGTGTGCGGAATAGACATATGAAGCATAATAGGACAGATACGACGTTCGTCAATAGACAAATAGACAATGGTGTGGCAAAATCCCAGTAAGCCCTCTGGTCTAACTCTGTGTGTGTGTGTGTGTGTGTGTGTGTGTGTGTGTGTGTGTGTGTGTGTGTGTGTGTGTGTGTGTGTGTGTGTGTGTGTGTGTGTGTGTGTGTGTGTGTGTGTGAAACTCCGGATATCTCGATGTATGTTCGATAGTCTCCAGGTCTTACCATAGCAGTCATGACCATATCGGCCAGGTTATATGTCCTGGACGTGCTTTTCAGCCTGTAACGGACCTCCGTGTGATAATCTTTCAACGTTAGATGTTACTGGACATGGGTTAAACTGATGAGAGAAACTGTACTACTTTGATGTTGACAAGTATGATATAATGCTAAAATCAATGGGTTTGTTCATAAGGCATTACCCCGTCACAACAACAGTGTGCATCTAGAATGTATTCTCAACTTCCTTGGGAGTATACACGTCCACGTGGGTTGTGTCTCATAATACAGAACAGCTGTTTTCTATTAGAGAAATGTAATGTGTAAGGATAGCATTAATTTAGCATTTCACCTTTTTATATATATGGTTTGTCTACCTTTTTTAAATTTCTGTTTGAATAAATACAAAGCAGCGATAGAGATTCTTCCAAAAGTCCAGTGTTCAAATCGTGTTGTCACGTTCTGGTTAAAACACAAATCGATTAGCCGGTCAGTGCGGCCATTTTGAAGTCATACTGTTTGAAGAGACGTCATCAAGTCATAATTGACTGTGCCCTTTGAATTACCATATCAATTATTCACTGGTGAGCCACACACAACGTTTAGTGATAAATGCGTTTCTTGTGGCAGTAGCAGTGCAATAGTTGATGACCTGAACGATCCTACATGCGAGGTCAAATGGGCGTTAACGTCGCGTTCAAGATCCAGACCGGACTAGACCGGACTAATGACGATATGAATGATGAGATACCATGCCGAAGTTTAACATGTATACCCGATAAAAATCAGTATACTGACTCCGAGCCCAGTCCTTGGGTTGTCCCCTTAATGCCGAGCGCCAGGCTGGATAACAGCAAGTACCATATTTTAACGTCTTTTGGTTTGACGCGGTCGGTGATCGAACCACCGACATTCCGCTCTCCGGGCAAACGTTCTACTACTTGGCCCTAGTCCTCTTAGGCGCCGCGATTCGCTGTGCAGAGTTGCGTCCCTTGGGCACGCTAGAAACCTATGATTGTGGGTTCGAATCCCGGTTCGCCCCGATTGTGTTTCTAGGTTTGTCAGCACCGTTGGTTTCACCGAAGTGGTAAGCGTCTGGAACCTGCATCACTTCGGGTTTTCCTCCCACATCAAGCTGACACGCTGTGATATAACTGGAATACTGCTAAAAGCGGCGCTAAACCCAACTCACTCACTCACTCACTCACTCACTCACTCACTCACTCACTCACTCTCATATGTAGTCGTACTGAGGGCACATGAATCTCGGGGTGTTTACACAAGAACGTTCAGATCTTAAAATCCCATACACCCCTCGAACGACATAAAATATTGTTTTGACAGTCATGTTTTATTTTAAAATATCACAACTACCCCTTGTGATTGGCCAATTTCTTTACGTGTAATGCAGATGCGCAGGCCCTCCTATCTATTTGAATAAAAAGAGTTGAATGTGTTTAAAATGGCACCATAGCTTCCGTATTGGAACCGAGTGCATTAATTTTTATAATGTGAACGAAAAGAAACACTATCGGATTTGACAGCGGTCGTTAGCGGAAGACGTATGCAGCCGCTATGGGAAACTCGGTCAAACGAAGCGGAACACCTTCGGCTGATTCCGCCAGAGCCGATCGTAGTTAATTGACTTCACCTTTTCCTGACAAACGGCGTGCGAGAAATGGCGGCGGTAAACAAATAAGCGACAAGTGAGATATTTTTTTGGTTAGTCTGACTAGAAGTCTTGACCATAAAGCATATAAATCTACTGCATTGGGCAGCTTGTATCGATATGCATCAGAATTTGTTATCTGAAGTTGGTTGGTTGGTTTAACAAAGTATGACGCTGTTCGATTCAAACATTTGTAACGTCTGTTTGATCAACGTTTATGGATTAGTTAATGGCAAACTTGTTTGGTTCTTTGTTTATTGTTTCACGCCGCACTCAGCAATATTCCAGCTATATGACGGCGGTCTGTAAAAATAATCGACTCTGGACCAGACAATCCAGTGATTGACATCATGAGCATCGATCTACATAATTGGGATACGATGACATGCATCAACCAAGTCAGCGAATCTGACCAGCCGATCCCGTTGGTCGCCTTTTACGACAAGTATAGTCACCTTTTACGGCAAGTATGTGCTGTTGAAGACCAATTCTTCCCCGGATCTTCACGGGTCTACAGTTATGACGATAGCTACTGCATTTATATCGCATTTGAAACTATTCCTTTGCACTTGGTAGCAATACACACGATACTGCTTACATTAATTCCGAAAATGCTTCTTTTCATTCAAATAATAGAACGGCCTAATAATTAACAAAAATAGCATAATCATTTCGAAGGAATGCAACTCTGGGTTATTTAAGGGTGTTTTTATTATTATTATTCGTCATGCAGGTTCGGTTTAGAAATATGTGATCGTTCAAGCGACGTGAATAATGAAAAGTGTTCATGGAATCGTCTACCTTATGTAGGGGGCACGGGTGGCCCAGTCGTCTAAGGCGCCGCGATTCGCTATGCAGAGTTGCGTCCCTTGGGCATGCCAGAAACCTATGATTGTGGGTTCGCCCCGATTATGTTTCTAGGTTTGTCAGCACCATACCCGTGCTCGTGGGTTTCACCGAAGTGGTAAACGTCGGAGACCTGATTCACTTCGGGCTTTCTTCACACATTAAGCTGGCACGCCGTGATGTAACTGGAATAATGTTAAAAGCGGCGTTAAACCAAACTCACTCACTCACTCACTCACTCACTCTCATATGTAGTCGTACTGAGGGGTGTTTTACACAAGAACGTTCGAGAAACTCGTGAAGATCCGAGGAAGAATAGGTCTTCGGCAACCAATGCTTTCCGTAAGAAGCGACTATGCTTGTCGTAAGAGGCGACTAACGGGATCGGGTTGTCAGGCTCCCTAACTTGGCTAATGCATGTCATCGTATCCCAATTGCGTGGATCGATGCTCGTGATATCAATCACTGGATTGTCTGGTCCAGATTCGATTATTTACAGACCGCCGTCATTTATCTGGAATATTGCTGAACGCGGCGGTAAAAAACAAAACAAATACACACAAAAGAAACTCAGGTTTTGCAGTCACGAAACACGACCCCTTCAAGCTATTGAAGCAAAAATATGTTGTGATAATTCTGACAGATATTGAGGTTCACAGACCGAGGTTCCAAAACACAAAGTGTATAAAGCAGGCCATTGTGCTAATTCCGGCATCGTTGGAAACTTTCAGAGTTAATGCCTCTGGGGAGTGTTCCTCACATACTGTCAGCGTTATAAGCATTCAGGCCTGGAAGATTGGCCTGAAAGAGAAGTATTTTTTTCTGCAAGGCCTCTGCATTTCTTCCAGCACTTCAAGCCGGGATCACATCCACGTAAGAGTGTGTATGAACAGACTTGGTCAAGTGACAGAGTTGCAACAACTGTTTACATGTTCATATCAGGCCAATGTCGGTTCCAACTTATCGACCCACCTCACAGTAGGGTTGACTCGACAGATGAACTTCCGTTTACGAAGAGGAGGATGGTATAATTGGACGTCCTTCGTACTCTAATGTTTTAGTCTTCTTTGGACGCTTTGATGACGTTGTACCTGCTGAATCCTTCGTCAAACTGTGCCACAAGTAGTTTACATGTTTCGACTGATATCAGCAAGAGCGTGTTTATTCTGCCAAGGAGGGAAAGAACCTTGTTTCCTTGTTCTGTTTGTCATAGGATTGTGTCTCCAAACACCCAGGTACTGCTGTGATCAATGAAAAGAGAGTCGTTGTAAGAGGTCTTTGCGAATCACGACCTTTTCTACTGACACCAACGGTTGCAGGTCTTCCTGAAAGCACTCATTACCAACCGGGAACTGTTCTGTTTTTCTTCCTCTGTGAAATTGGAGGCGGAGACACTTGGAGCAATAATCACGTTTCAGGCTCACGTGAATACAACGGATTGTCTGGTTGTACGATTGTTGCCGGATAACATAGCGCACTCCCAGGCACCCCTTCATCCGGAAGTATAACATCCAGTGGCTTGCTGAGGTCTTGGTGAGTACCTAGCTTTTACTAATTTTGGTTTCACACTTTACAATAAATAGTGTTATCGTGAAGGTACAAGGTTTACAAGGGAAAGGTTTATCATGTCGAAATTAACTTCTTCCATAAACAAACAACTTTTATCACCAAGAATGCATTGTTTCTTATAGATATTATGCAAACATCGTAATGGGAAAATTTACCAATTTTGTCAAACAAATTAATTGTATAAAATCTTGAATTGTGGGCTCGAAAGACCGATTTGCTTTTCGTTTTTAACATTTTATGACAGGTAGATGCTGCTAGTTTAATATTTACATAATTTACTCCAGAAACAGTTGCACATCTGCAATTTATGGAAGGAGTGATCATTTTCTCCGTTCCGCTCCATGAGGCTATCGGCAGTTTACACATGTGAAAGATGTATTTCTTCTGACACTTCACTATCCCCAGCTTCTTATCTTTATATTGAAAGAGCAACATGTAAATAGGCGTTTTAGGTTGAGCCAGTGCACTGAGCAGTGTCATCACACTCAGCTGAAACGTGTCTTGTATAACAGTATGCTATCCATCTGTTGGCGGATGTGATTAAATCTTGTCAGTTTTTTTCTCTTTGATCGACGCAGTCTTTGAGAAGGAGATATTCATTAAGCGAAAAAATATGTTTCATCAATTCTTTGATAGTAATCTATTGCTGGCATGTATTTGTTTAATAAGAAACCTTAAAAGGAAAATTGATACTTATTTGTCGAACAAACCATCAACGCTCGTGTTAATTGCGAACATTTCCACCAATATGTAGCTGACCATGAAGAAAATGTCATATCAATCATCATTCTATCTGAGCATTGATCATAACAATATTTGCGTCTTGGAGTCTTGTTACTAATAGATTTCCCATGATTTATTTGATCATATGCCCAGAACAACTTTGAAGTTTAGTACATGTTTATATGATTTTATGTTTTTAAATCTCAAAGACACTCTTACGTTACACATCCCAATAGATCCTAAATGTCTATGTAAAAGATATGTGTAATACAACAATCGTAAGATTGCATTCTTTACCTTACCTCATAAGTAGATCAACAACCTTTCACTTTCATTTTACAAACTAAACCATGTTTATTATCCACAGATACCCACAAGTATACATGTATACAACATGTACCTGTATATTGGTTGGTTGGTTGGTTGGTTGGTTGTTTAACGCCGCACTCATCAATATTCCAGCTATATGACGGCGGGCTGTAAATAATCGAGTCTGGACCAGACAATCCAGTGGTTGATTTCATGAGCATCAATCCACGCAATTGGGAAGAGCCTGACCACCCGATCTCGTTAGTCGCCTCTTACGACAAGCAGAGTCGTTTTTTACGGCAGTTTACCACTGTCGTAGACAATCCTTCACATAAAGGGATAATGTTTATTTATCAGAAATAATATTACAGTTATTCACCCATCATAACAACCTTCGTCGAAGAGCAACCGAACAGTTCCCTCATATGGTTAAGCAATCTTCATAAACCACAAGCACTTGACACAAAAGCGTCACATAGTAATTATTGGTAAATAAACTATAAGTGTTCCCTACCCGTGAAGATGTGGGGTAAAAATTGTCTTCAGCAATCCATGTAAGAGGCGACCAACGGGATCGGGTCAGGCTCGCTGACTCGGTTGATGCATGACATCGTATCCCAATTATGATGTCAATCACTGAATTGTCTGGCCCAGACTCGATCATTTACAGACAGCCGTCATATAGCTGGAATATTGCTGAGTGCGGCGTTAAACAACAAACAAACATACACACAAGCAAGGGTTGCTGAAGACCAAATCTTAATCGGATCTTCACGGGTGATAAGTGAATAAGTCATGTTCTGACGGAGATACGCGTCGCCAAGTCCCTACGGCGCTGACCTTCGCTGTGATCGTTGGTTGGAATCCCATATTTGCTCGGCTTATGTTTCGAGTGTTCCATTTACCGTTACGACACAGGCACATGTTTACATCCCCATTTTGAATACACGTAATTTTAATTATAATAAAAAATAAATACATCATCCATGGTTAAATATTTGGGTAAAAAAAATCACCCAATATTCTATTGAAAGATACAGTCAGAAATACTCAATTATCACGAACGACAGACCAACGTAATGTAACATTGTGTATAATGTCCTTATACCGAGTTCATGGACGCGAAGGATTCGTCAAGCTTGTTCCCATTACCCAGCAAGAAGCTCTTCTGTTTGTTGTACACGGTTCCCTCAATTAATTTCAAATTATAGCCCGTTAATTTGATTGCATCAATACGTTTCCATATCCCACATTAAAGACTCTCCATCATCCATAAGAGCCGTATTCAAATAGGCATCACTCCTATCGCTACTATGTACCAGTGCGCTGCCTTTAGTGTTGCTATTTTTTGATGAACAGGTCTAATTTTCTTTGATTATCGGAAATCAATAGTTGGTGTAATCACACAAAGCTGTGGTATACGACGTGGCTTAGGGTATACGACGTGGCAATGCTGGCCCTACTCATGTTTCCAACTCAATTTATACACTTCGATGTATAATTTAAAATGGCAATGCAATTTACCGTTGGTCAACGTCGTCATTTCTCCATTGGTACCATTCCAATAAGGGAAGACAGTTTTTTTTCAAGTTTTTTTCCATCAACGCTCAAGGAAATAACTGTTGGTTCTTGGTATCTTACACGTTCTGCTGTACGCACATCTATTGCGAATGATGGACCCTTAACACACACTGACAAAATGGCATTGATCTAGACTTGAATCCCCTAAACGTTTGTCATCATTTATTTCATTTCATGTGCTCGTGAGCGTGCCCGGTGCTGTGTCTTTGTGAGTGTGTTATTATTACGCGATATATGAATTAAAATGAAATACTTTAATTTCATAATAAGTGTCATGTTCTATGGGCTGTGTCCAAAGACGTCATGAATACAATTCTGCTTCAAACGTCATATTTAATTGCATGCACCTATGAATAGCAGTGTGTAAAAGTATGAATCATAGTAAAAAAGGAGTTTCCAAAGCTGTTCCTCTTGAAGTATTTAATTTGTTTGTTGTTAACGCCGCACTATTCCAGCTATATGACAAGCGGTCTGTAAATAATCGAGTCGGAACCAGATTATCCAGTGACTGACATCATGAGCATCGATCTACTCAATTTTGATACGATGATGTGCATCAACCAAGTCAGCGAGTCTGACTACAAGATCCTGTTAGCCGCCTCTTACGACAAACATGGGCTGGTGAAGATCAATTTTAACCCGAACTTTCACGGGTCTAATAATAATAATAACTCAGAAAAGTTATCGGTGGGTTTGACTAGGCAGCGCTTCCTGTCGCTTTTATGTGCTTTCAGGACCAGTCAATTCCCACTCGAAACCGTCAATGTGTGATTTTGCATCAAAACGTAGATATGAAATGTAGATTATGTAATGAATTTAATGAGACTGCCCAACACATTGTCAGTGGATGCCCAGCTTTGGCACAGAAACAGTATCTTAAGCGACATGATGGCGTAGCTCCATCATCTTCGCCATGCTTGTGATTTTGACAAAGAGGTTCATCCATGGTACGACACGGAATATGTAGATGGCGTCATGGAAAATACAAATTCCTTTGGAATAGGCCCGTATACAGCCTCAGACGTATTCAGGCCAACAAACCTGATCTTGTGCTTTTTGATAAATCCAATGAAATCATTTATATCATTGAATTTTCTGTCCCTTTTGACACTAATGGGATTGACAAATGTCACGCTTGCATCCCAAGTACCACGTTGTCAGACTCCCCATTGTTCTCGGTGCCTTTGGTTTGGTACCTTCCAATCTGTTGACTGACATTGGGAGACTACCTGGGTTTGCTGCCAGGAATGCAGCCCTTCCAACAATCTGGGTAATGCAGAATGCTGCAGTGTTGAGGAGTCTTAACATTCTCCGAAAAGTTCGCGGTGGGTTTGAACAAGGCAGCGCTTCCTGTGAGAAGTCCTATTCGCTGTCTGGGCTGCGTGCAGAGGGGGCAAGGGCCCTGAGCTGATGATGAGCCTAACCAGCCTGACTGCCAGGATCACCCAAAATCTCTTTGCTGCATTTATATTTCTATCTGTAAATAATAATAAATATAAAAAGATGGTGAAGATTGCATGCTGTTGGTGACCTGGTATCGTTGCTGTAATCTGTAGATGGTTCTGACGTGTATATTAACCTATGGCAACCATTCGTGCAGTCTGGCAAGATACAGTCGTCCTGAAGCCTTCATACTTCATTAGTCTTGACATGGTGCTAGTATCGATACAAGAATGGTGGATCCACGTATTGGGGTGCCGTTTAGCAGGAAAGGCACAAGGAAACGCAATTGAATTTTGAATTTCATGGAAAGCGTTGTGGACTTTGAACCGTGGACGTTTGTTAAGCTGCGTTTTTGTGACCATGTCGTAGGTTAACATGTGTACCCAACTCAGAGTTTACTGACTCCAAACCAACCAGTCCTTTTTGTATCCCCTTAATGACGAGCGCCAGGCAGGGAAAGAACAAGTACCATTTTTTAACGTGTTTTGATATGACGCGCCGGGACTAGAACCCCCGACCTTCCGCTTTCAGGGACCGATGGAATAGAATACATGGAGGTCAGTTTCTATGATAAGTAATACCAGTATTTACACTGCATGATGGTTTTAGTTAAGTTGCAAAAGGAAAGTTTACATAGAGACAAACTTTGGAATAAGCACTATGTTATATGGAGTCAACATGTATGTCAGCATCGCTACGTCGACACTTCACACTGTAAACGCTGATCATTGTGACCTTAAGTATTTAATACATCAACCAGGACATGTATTATGGTAAAAACATACAGGTCAGTGTCTGTTTCATACAGTTTCTGTAACACTATGTGTTTTGCAAAACATACCTCATACGTTTATCAAGAGGGTATGATTTTACTTATTTTACAGCAGGGACGGAGGGGTGGGGGGGGG